GGGATGGAGGTGAGGCTGACAGGCCTGGAGTTTCCTGGCTCCTCCTTCTTGCCCTTTTTGAAGACTGGCGTGACATTGGCTTTCTTCCAGGCCTCAGGCACCTCTCCTGATCTCCAGGACCTTTCCAAGATGATGGAGAGTGCCTAGCGATAACATCCACCAGCTCCCTCAGCACTCGGGGGTGCATCCCATCAGGGCTCACGGATTCATGGATGTCAAGTTTGGACAAAAGATCTCTAACCTGATCCTCCTCAACCAAGGGAGAGTCTTCCTTTCTCCAGACTTCCTCTCTTGTCCCCAGGGTCTGGAATTCCTGAGGACTGGCCTTAGCAGTGAAGACTGAAGCAAAGGCAGCATTCAATAACTCTGCCTTCTCTATATCCTTGGTCACCAGGGCACCCGCCCCATTCAGCAGCGGACCCACATTTTCCCTAGTCTTCCTTTTGCTGTTGATGTATTTGAAGAACCCCTTCTTGTTGTCCTTGACATCCCTTGCCAGATTTCATTCCAAATGGGCCTTAGCCTTCCTTGTCGCATCCCTGCACAACAACGTCCCTGTATTCCTCCCCAGTGGCCTGTCTCCTTTTCCACATTCTGTAGACGTCCTTCTTCTGTTGGAGTTTTGCCAGGAGTTCCTTGCTCCTCCATGCAGGTCTCCTGCCCACTTTGCTGGATTTCTTACTCAGAGGGATGCACCGATCTTGAGCCTGGAGGAGGTGATGCTTGAATATTAACCAGCTTTCTTGGACCCCTCTGGATGTCTGGAGATCATGCAGACCTACCCCCCCTGCTCAAGCAGGATCAGCTAGAGCAGGTTAGGTTACTCAGGGCTATGTCCAGTTGGGTTTTGAATATCTCCAAGAATGGAGACTCTACTTATGTTTAAAAGGATTTTCTTGTATTGCAGCTTGTGCCCATTGCCCTGTCACTGGATACCACTGGAAAGAGTCTGGCTCTGTCTTTACTTCTTCCCATCAGGCATTTATATACATTGATAAGATCCTCCCCTGCACCTTCTCTCCTCGATGCTAAACGATCCCAGCTCTCTCAGCCTTTCCTCATGTATCAGTTGCTCCACTCCCATAATTATCTTTGTGGCTCTTTGCT